TGCTGGTAAGTCGTTCTGTGTAAAGACTCGGACGATCTTACAATAGACCTTACAAAAGAAGGATACTTGGTTATCCAAGCCTTCGACGCATATTGTCAGGTGCCTCTCGAAACGCTGATCTCAAATTTGCTTGTCTCGACTACGGTACCGCTTATCCAAAGTACGATGTACCATCGTAATACAAGAAGCTTAAAATTCAGTTGAACTAATAGCATACGGTATTCTTAGTTAGGCACCATATTTTAATCAAAAAAGACCTTTAACATCGCTAGTTCCACTAAATCTTGAACTCTTGATCGTAAGAGCAAGCATGGACCCTAATTTGGCGAGAAAAAACTTTCATACCTTTGAAAAACGTAGATGGGGTAGGCGTATTTGAGTCAGCAATCTGAGGTGAATACATCTCTTTTGAATGTGCGTCGACTTGATGCTTCTCTTCTTGTAAACCTTTCTGGAAATACTGCGGGTGTCCGTGCGCCCGGAATCTGAAATAAGGAATCCCACGCAATTGGTGAAACATAATAACCCGGACAAAGAATCGAAATCAATCTATTGCATCATATATCTCTATGGATTTTCTACCCATAAAGATGATATGCTTTAAAGAGTCAAAGGCAATCTTCGCAACATAACAACGACGGTACAGATGAGACAAGGGCAACAGTATGACTTGTCAAATCCGAAAATTCTGGCATTACATAAATTGTACCGAGTAGAAAGAACACCACCACGTCATGCAGGTTATGATATACTGAAAAATCCAAGAATAATGAAGGTGAGTATTTGTGCGCACTTGTCCAGCACATATAAAAATGTACAGTTCAGGGTACGGCTTTTGATTTAAGAGAACGCCATCGCTTAGGCATTCTTGGTCTAATTCCACCTGCTGTTATGACCATAGAACAACAAGAGTATCGAATAATACGCAGAATTCGTGCACAAACTGATCCTCTCATGAAGTTCGTCTTCAGATGTATCAATAAGCTTTTCCTTTTAAAATAATTCGCTTTAGATACATCATCCTCGATGAACTGCAGAGTCGAAATGAAGCGTTATTCTATCGAGTTTTGCACGACAACATTACGGAACTAATGCCAATTGTGTACACACCAACAGTAGGCTTAGCTTGCCAGAACTATGGCGATATCTATCGCTTTCCAAAGTTAGTTTTTGACTAAACTTTCTTGAAATGAAATCTCAGGAAAAGAGAGTTTCTGTAAAGGGGAGTGTACATCACTATCAATGATAACAGCATCACTAAAATTTACCGAATACTCAGTAGTTGGCCTGTTTCAGACATAAG